TGCAACAAGAGGAGTCACCGCACTGAGATGCCCATGCACTGCAAAAACAGACAAAAGAGCAGCCCAGCAGCAACAAAGACCCAGCGCAGCCAGTAAGTAAATAAAGTAACAGTAAACAAACACAACAGGGGCAGAAGAATCTGACGTGCTGCAGATTCAACACAGAGGCAGAAGGCACCCTAGCATTAAGTCCTCATAGAATACCGGGTGTCATCCGCGTATAATGTGTGCCAAGCCACTTGTAGGAAGCTGGACTTATGGGTGATGACAGTTCTATTAAGCATGTTTCCATGGATAGCCACGGGCTTGAGAGTTACAGGTGGTCTAGAATGGAAAATCTGTGCCTAAGAAGTCAACCCAGAGTCAGGTCTGTCTCTGAACCACCTGTTGTTCAGTCATTAAGTCGTTTCCAATTCTTTGCGACCCCATGGACTGCAGCACTCGGCTGCAGTGCTTCCCTCTCCTTCACTCTCTCCCGGAGTTTGCACAAACTCGTGTTCACTGAGTCAGTGATGCCATTCAACCTCTCATCCTCTGTCATCCCCCTCTCCTCCTTCCCTCAATCTTTCCCAGCATCAGGGTCTTTTCCAATGAGTCGGCTCTTTGCATCAGTCAATTTTACTACGTAATGCTTTCCCCTTTGATCACTTTCAAGATTATCAAAGAACAAGAAGCACATCCTTGAGAGAGAGAGAGAGAGACTGATGCAGATGAGAGCAAAAGAGATGTCTGGTGGCTTGAAGCTTAATAAAGCAGTGCTTCCTAAGGTCTCTTCTATGCAACTCCCACCCCGGGCCTCATAGAACCAATGCCTTAATAATCAGAAAACAGACCCAGATTCCACTGTTTCAACTTTTCAAAAGTCTCCCAAATCCAACTCGTTGTTTCTCATGCTTCCACGTTGTTATGAGAGGAGGAAGTTTTCGTCCTGTTGAAATACCTATTCATTAGGTCTTACTAATTGGGACCAAAAGTGAAGGCTGCAAGCAGCAAGGCCCAGAAGAGATCCCAGAGCCCCTGGGTCCTGTCCCTCTTGGAAATACAGGAGTGGTCGCCATACAGCCACTGTGCAGGCCAACAAAGAGACTCTATCATGAAACTCAGTGGCCCCTGGGAACTAGAATATCCTGAGTGACAAAACCAGCCTGACAGTCCAAAATGGAGAGGATAAAGCCCAAACAAGATGAAAGAAGGCTGCTAAGCATTATTCATCTTTTACCAAAAGTTGAAGTTGGGTGATAATGAGAAAGGTCCTATCACCTACTGATGAAAATGTATTGGATATCCTTGAAAAGGAAAACAACCTTCTCAGAGCAAATCCACTGGGGCCTCCCCAGGGTTCGGGGCAGAGAAAGAGCTCTGGAAGGAAATGATAGGATTTCTAGGCTGCCTCCATCATGACACTGACTGTGTGACCTTGAACAAGGTCACCTATTGCTGTGTGACCCATTGCCTCGCCTATGGCCTGGGGCAAGGGGTTCCCCTTCCCTTATAGCCCCCTGGAGGGCAGGGCTGCTGACTCAGGTTCTCAGATATGGTGGCAACAGATGATGGCCAGCTTCCTACCTGCCACTTACACTGTCTTTTTCAGAAGGAAAATGCTCTTCGAAGTTAAAAAGGATTGAGCTCTTTTTAAATTAATTTTTGTTGGAGTAGATTTGCTTTACAATGTTGTGTTCATTTCTGCAATACAGCAAAGTGAATCAGCTATACACATACCCATATCCCCTTTGGATTTCCTTTCCATTCAGAGTTCCATGTGCTATATAATGGTTCACATCCGTTATCTATTTTATACATAGTATCAACAGTGTATATACTTATCAATCCCAATGGCTCAATTCACACCCCCGACCCCACCTCAGGACTGAACGTTGACACCACCTTTGAGCGTGACACCACCTGCTTCTGTGGTGTCCTAGCTTCATATTCACACCAGATACTTCTCTCTAGTTCTTTCTAGAAAGGGTCACGCTCTTCTGCATAAGTCAAACATAACTCCAGACCACGCATCAGAGCCCTGCAGGGCTCATGTTACAAGTTTCTTATGTGTGACCATTTCTTCCTCGGCCCCTGTGACATCAAGGACTCTGGCTTTGCCGTCACACACGAATTATCTTACACATTTCCCCATTAGGACAAGCAATCCTGGGAGAGAAGTTCACATCATCAAACGTGAGGTCAGTGAAAGTGAAAATCGCCGAGTCGTGTCTGACTCTTTGCAACCCCGTGGACTATACAGTCCATGGAATTCTCCAGGCCAGAAGACTGAAATGGGTCCTTTCCCTTCTCCAGGGGATCTTCCCAAGAGACCCAGCCCATATTTGCTTCCAGAATAGCTGTGGGCTCTTGGACAAACACCCTCACCTCTGGGGCTCTGCTCGCTGATGGCAAAATGAACAGGTTGAAGCACGGAATCTCTAACGCTGACTGCTGCTCCTAAAACCTGTGACCCAGGAACATCCAGCCTACTCGGACCCATTTGACGCATCTATATCTACCACGGCTGTGCTAGGACCTGATGGGCTACCACCCGACATCCTCACCAATATGCCTGCAATTCCTCTCTAAAGAGACACAAAGATGATGCTTAAAAATGCGGATTCCCATGAGAGGGCACTGATTGTCCCGACTCCCTGTGGTGGCCAAATGAATTTCTTGAGAGTTGACTTAACAGAGAATGGGTCTTCTGCTCTTTTGTGTCTGTAACTTTGAGACTTCTCCAGCTACACTTCGGAGAACTCATCTACCCAATGACACGCTAATACTCACCTCTCCAACTTGCAGAGAGAATTAAGTGTTGAAAGATAACGTTACAGTAGTCTCTTCTGTGTGTATGTGTTCAGTCGCTCAGTGGTATCCAACTCTTTGCAACCCAATGGATGTAGCCTGCCAGGTTCCTTTGTCCATGGGATTTCCCAGGCATGAATACTGGAGTGGGTTGCCATTTCCTCCTCCAGGGGATCTTCTTGACCCACGGATCAAACCTGTGTCTCCCAAGTCTCCTGCATTGCAGGTGGATTCTTTACCACTGAGCCACTACGGAAAGTTCTTCAATAGGTCACTAAATAATACCTCTTCTTTTTTTAGTTAGTTACTAGATCTTCAAGGAAGATAGAACACTGGAGGGCAAAAAGGATATCTCTGTCAGTATCTTGTTGGAGTCAGGTGTATATCTTTCAGTCAGGTGTATATGAGAATATTCAAAGTGGCACATACTTGAGTGTTTGAGCTCAAGAAGAACTTAGAGCCAGTGCAACAGAGTCAGGACAAGAAAAGGATGAGGAACTTGAGGCCAAGGGGAAGGGACCAATCTAAGGTCACAGAGAGGAGTAAGGGCAAAAACAGGATGAGGACCTGAGTGTCCAGGATCCAAGGGCAGATGGAGGTAAGCAGAAAGAGAAAGATAACCATCACTCCCACACTCTAGATCTTCAAATAGTGCCCCCACCTTCTTTAGCTTGTTAATGAAGGTAAAAGCCATCCAGTCAGAGACCAAGATATTCACCACCACAGAGGCCCATGGTACTCCTTTACGGGTAAAAATATGGGACAATAACCAACTTCCGTGGGTCTGGGAAATCCAGTGGCCCTCTGCACTTTGTCTACTCTGCTGGATTATAAATGCTCATGAAACTATTCCACTTGGACCAAGTAACCACAGGTCCTTTGACCTGTGCTAATCCCCAAATGCTTCCCAGATGTTTACTGTTAGCTTAGCTCAGACCACAAAGATGCAAAAACCAATGCACACATCACTAGATCTCTCTCATTTGGATGCCATCAGGCTTCCATAGGCAATCACCTAAAACCATCACAGGCCACTGGGATAGATGGGCTAACTAACTGGAAGATGTAAAGGTTTGACAGCAAATCTGTACCAGACGCATAAAAGGTACTCGCAGAATGTTTGCTGAGTGAGTGAATGAATGATGCACACTAGCCTTGATTCAGATGATCCTGAATAGGACTGTGATAATGGAACCTTCACTTCACTAAACACTTTGCTAATAGGAGACAGGAAAGCCCAAGGCAGTCACAAGAATTCCATGACATCACATATGTAGAGCCCCTGCAGTAATTCTTGGAATAGTCAGCAATGAATATACATCAGCTGCTTCCACTCCTCCAAAAAAGCACATTATTAAAAAGGAAAAAAAAGGAACTTGAAAGAGTTTTTACAATCAAAGTCAGCTGGAGTAGAAAGCAGGGCCCCAGTGGGGGTCTGCTAAATATGATGTAATGAGTTAATGGAAGGACCATGAATGAAGCCCGGATGCCCAGCCTCCTGTCCAGCTGTCTCTTAAAACAACCAAGACTTTCACATAGCCAGGCACGTGCCCAGGTAGGCTCCTCACCTGGAACGCTGGTCCTTCCTGTGTCGCCTACAACACATTCACTTTGGCTCCAAATTCACCTCTCCTATAAAAACTTTCCTGACTCTTCAAGTCCTCGTTAGAACTGACACCCCAGCTCCCAGTTCCCATCTGACCCAGCACATACCTGTGGGTGGGCTAGTAACACTTCCTTTACTAGGTCATTGACTAGCTAATGCATCTTGATATTCACAGTCCTGAGACTTGTGATTCAAACCTAGGAACAGACTTAGGGAGTATCTCTTGAATGAATGAATGATAAACGACTGATGCCAAGCATGGAGACTACCGAAGGCAGAATTTTCAAAAGTTTCCCTTATTCACGCTGAAAATGCCACAGAGGCTCGCAGCCACCTTCAGAGTTTATGACGCCAAAACAAAATTAATTACGTGATCACAGAATATCCTGGCACTTGTGAGCCTCTGATAACCATCTCTTAGAGGAGCAGCAAACCACTTCTCAGGGGCACTTAAAACATTGCAGTATTTCTCCCTTTGTCCTTCCACAGTCCCTCCTCCTCACCTGGACGACAGGCAGCCCAAGAATGTCCATTCCAACCTCTCTGGCAAGCTGCTCTGAGCAGCCTGGCATAGCACACGAGCCTGGACAGGAAGGAGACTCACCTTTCTTCGTCCTTAAAGATGAATTTCCGCAGCTTGAGGTCCCGGAGCACCAGGCCCCCATCGTGGCAGTGGGCCACGGCCGAGGCGATCTGGTAGAAGAGCCTGGCCGCCTCCTCCTCCCTCAGCTTCTTGCAGGTGCGGACGAAGGAATGCATGTCCCCATAGCTCCGCTCAAAGAACACATAGGCTTTGGTTTCCCCCAGGATAATTTCGGTGATTTGGTTGATGTTGCTGTGGGCAGACAGGCAAAAACAGGGGGCCAGGGACTCCTGGTAGCAGCTGATATCAAACACCTAGGGCAGGATGAACAATACCAAGAGTCAGAGGTGCCTCCTATACAACCAGATCACAGAATGCAGATACCTCCCATAGACACGGGTTGAGCTTGGACCCCCGATCACACTGGCCCTGCCTCCCAGCTGTGAAGCACTGAATAAGTCGCTTGACCTCTCTGAGCCTCCAAATCCTCATGTGCAAAAGGGCAAGTGATTGACTCACAGTGTTGGATTATATGAAAAAATGAAGGTCAGAATGCTTAGCAAGATGTAACGCAATACACAAATGGTAAGTTTAATTATGTTTTTCTCTCTATCCTAATCGCCTCTGTTTATAGAAAAATTAAGGCAAAATTTGAGACATCCCAAGCTGCACAGATAACACCTTATTTACCTTCAAAGAAAAAAAGAAAGCATCCATACACCAACACTACACAGCTCTAACAACCATATACAACATATTTTTTGCTACATAATTGAATTGTATAGCAGTATACAACATAATAGCAATTAATAGATTAAATGTGTAGACTGAAGGTTATGTAATTCAGTACCTTCATCTCACAGATGTGGAAATCGAGGCTTGGATAACAAGTCAAATCAAGCCCCCAGCGGCAGAGCTAAGAAAGGACACAGTCCTTCTGATTAAGAAAGCAGCCAAGCTCCTTTCTCTTCCCTCCACACACATCTAGCTCAATGAATCACTTATGCAATGATTTTCTATGAATCAAAATGAGCCTGTGAAATGCCACCTCATTGTGGGGTTATTTCGAAAGCAAATCCACCCTCAATACCTTTTGGGAACAAATCTAATAGGAATTAACACTACAGAGATTTTCTCAGGTTAAAAAAAAAACAAAAAACGGTTTCATTCATTTCAAGACCTCCACTGAATCAGGGATACAAATCTCTGGGTTTGGAATGTGGCTTTCCTATCTGCCCCGGGAATGTGGCTATGATGAGTCTATTCCGTGTCTGCAAGAGTGAGGGGCGGGCATGGGTGCTTCTTGCTGGGGAGCATGGACAGCGAACACTGCTCCAATAATACGCTGAATGCTAACAGTTCACCACCATTTAGCTTCTTCGGTCTCTTTTGCATTAGTTAGAACACACTCTCCTTGATCATCATTTTGTGGTGTGTGTGGGGGAATGAAAAACGCTGGCCTAGAAACCATCTAATTTGAGAATCTAATCCTGGCTTGGCCACCGATAATCTGGAGGAGGTGGATAAAGCATTCAGGATCACTCAGCCGCCCTCCTTTTCATAAACTGAAGATGCTGACTGGAAACACTGTTGACCTTTATGGGTCCGGACCCTACCTGAGAATCTGATGAAAGCTCAGGCCCCTCTTAGCTGACAATGCCCATTCTCAAAAGCACGTACAATAATAACAGATTTGTCTTAAGGGGACTTACAGGCTTTCCATAACCCAGCCAGGGACATAGGCTGCTATTTAAGAATCCCTGAGTGAAGCCTCTCTTCATTTCAAAAAACAAAACCCCCAAATCTGTGAGTCAAACGGCCCTGTAAAAACCTCGGGAGGGCTGGTGCGAACGCGGGTGAGGAAGCAAAGTAACGTTGTGAATGAACCATAATGAGGCATCTCAGGAAAGCGGCGCAGCTGCTGCCACTATAACCTAGAATTTAAGAATGAATACTTCCGTGTCCCCAGAGACCACAAATCACACCCTGATACTGTCAAATGATGACCTGCCAGCAATGACCTCAGAGGTCCATTCAATTAGGCATCTGAAATGCTTGAGTCAACTTTAACACCCAGGCTGCAGAAACCCAGGAAAGCCTCAGAAATTTCCCAGAGTAATAAAGGCTTTGCAATGACTAATGTAAACACTGCGTTATAGAAGGAGGATGCTGGCATCTGAGGCACTGGTCTGCAGGCTCTGTGGCCAGTGCTCATGGGGTCAATGATTATTTATAACATATTTCCTGCTTTGAGTTGCATTTTTAAAAAAAAAATAGTGATTTTTTTTTTTTTGCTCAGTACCCTTAGTCTATTATCCTGTCCCACTGTATAACCAAATCAACATTAAAAGTCAAACATATTCATGGCACCTTCAAAATGTAGCCATACCCTTTGCAGGAGAGACCAAATTCCAAGATGGTGGACACAGTATGCAAAATAAAGCAAGTACTTAGGTTTTCCCAAATGGGTAGGAACCGAACTTTTATTACTAGCTGTAACAGGCATTTATGAGCTTGGATTGGTATTTAAACCATCACCTTCAAGTGCAAAATCAAGCCATAAGCCTCAGTGCCAGCCTCTTTTAAATGTTTAATTTAGATCCTTAGTTATATAATGTGACAGATCAGATAAGGCAGTGAGATTAGGCCATCATTCATAGTATTTGCAAAAAAAAAAAGTGCCCATTTTGCCAAGATAGTAATTATGTCAATCTACACAGTAACTACAAGCATTTCCATGAAAACGATAAGCTAAGGACACCCTAAGTCCCCTTCCTTCATCTGCCTAGCTTAACACAGACACAGGAAGACAATAAACAGGCATGATTATTTTGGTTAAATGATGCTCCAGTCTCTCTCTCTCTCCCAAAATAATGTCCTGTAGAATTCTATACGGTTCCTGTGAGTGGCATCTTTGCACTGGATATATTGCTTCAAAGACTTTTTTCTTGGGTCAACACAGAGCCAGGAGACAGGAACTCTACATTCTAAGAAGTCAAAAGGAACTGGATTCAATGTGTAGATTTCACTGAGCCTGCAGTAAGCCAAGAGTCCACAGTGTATCTATGAGGGTAGTTCATAGAAGCAGCCTTATAAAAAGCACTTGGAGCTTTCAAGGATATATACAACTATACAACTATGCTTGCATAAGAAGTCACCCACATCACCTCTGGTGAAAAGGCAGGCAAACAGAGCTGCTGTGTCTTAAAGGGATGACCTCTGTCAAGCAGAACAATGATACTGCACTTAAATCCACTTGCAGCGGCACAGTAATTGGTAAGGGGCTGATTCAATCTTTGCAATAACTAAACAAGCAGATTAAGTACAGTTTCAGGCCAGAGAGCAAGTCTACGAATGACACTGTAAGGTCAGCCTAAAGTGAAATATGTCTTGAAAAAATCTGAAGGGAGAAAGAAACAGCAGGGGCTGGAGTCACCTCTGCCTTTAAACAAAGAAATAACAGGGCAAGATGTTCCTGCAGAATTTGGCGGCAGACTCCTTTTACTTAAAAGCATCTCCAGCCTTTGAAAAATATGAAAATGCTCTACTGAAGTTGAGCAAAAGGAGTGAAAACACACTGCTGGGTGATTGTACATATTTCATATGAGAGTGGCAGCTCTGTGGAATTCATTCATTTCAGAGGATGACTACCCTATTGTACAACGTTGTAGGTCTTCTGAGAATTCAACCCAGCTCTGAATAGCCTACTGAATTTTGGTTAACTGGGAATAGCTGCTCTGAGTCTCAATAACTTGGAGAAGGTGCAAAATACCAAATGTTCAGTCTAAGAAGAGAGCAGTATTTAAAGAGTCTCTGATTTCCCTCTGAGGTCGAAACTAAACAACTGCACAACAGACTGGAGACCCTCCACAAACCCATTTTTCACAATGAAATACTCCAGCCCCCTGTGAAAGAAAGCAAGTTCACAAAGCAGCCTATGGTTGATGGTAAAAGTGTGATGCATTATTTGTAGCACAGGTATGCAGAGTGCCCATTTCAAAGGGGGGGGTCCCCACTCCTAATTACCTCCTTAACCCCTCCCCAAACAAAACCAACACTGAGCTAAGCTAAAATTAAGTGAATGAATTCTTCATCTATGTCCCATTCCTGGGAAGCCTACTCTACCGTCTTCATTTTTTGTTGTTGTTGCAACTATTCCCCTGCTCATCTCCTTGTCTTGGAGCCCTGTGAACGCACACAAAGACAGAGACACAAACCAGTTCAGGGTCAAAGACGAAAAGGAAACTGAAGTACCCATCTCTGTATTAACACTGTGGATCCCCAAGGCTCCAAATGCTGGCCTCTAAACCCTACAGGCGAAGGTGTGTGTTGGGGGGGTTGGGGAGTGTATAGTGGGGGCAAATGGGGGGGGGCGGTTCAGGCATGGAAAGCTGGAGATGAGAAGAAGAGAAAAAGACCCAAAGGATTCACAATTTCCAACACCCAGAGGTGCGCTGGTGGCTTTGATTTCCGCCCCCAACCTTCCTTTCAAGGCTCCAGGCAGAAGGAGGCTCTTTGTAAACTCCTTCCCCGCGCTGGGCCCCTGGGCTCAGCCAGAGGGGACACCTTTGTGCGTCTCTTTTAAAGGGCACCTACGGAACAAAGGTTCCACACCTGCACGCTGCCGAGAACAATGGCTGCGAAAGGAACCGAGGCATCAGCGCCTAGAAATTAGCGAGGGGATTCCCTCCTCGGTGTTGGAAGGGGAGGGGGCTGGACCCAAGGAGAAATTCCCGGACCGCGGGACTCAGCGTAACGCAGAGGGGCTCCATGAGCCGAAAGGACCACGCGTGGCCGTGGCCCCCGCTCAGTCCCGCCGCCTTCCCCGCGGCGGGCTCTCCCCAGAACGCCCCCGCCGCAGCCCGCCCCATTGTCTGCAACGCTCTAAAAACTTCGCGACTAGTCGAACGGTAATAAATTCAGAACCCCATTTAACGAGCCCACGGATAATTAATCCGGCGAATCGCCCTCACCCGGAACGCAGGGCTCGGCAACCTCCCGCCCCCTCCCAAAGGCATCTTTTCAAAAGACAAAAACAGCCAAAAGCAAACCCCGGGCTCTTTACCTTGCACACCAGCTCCTCTCCACTGTGCAGATGCACGGCCCGAAAAACGTGGTCTCCCTCCAGGGGTTCCAACAATAAGTATTTCCCAATGCAAGAAACGCAATGCGACAAGTTCGGAGTCTCAGGCGGGCTCGGGGAGCCGAGGTTCGGGCTGAAACTCTGGCTGGGTTCGGCGGACCTTATAGACGACAACTCCTCGAAATCCTGGGTTTTGTTCCGCGATCTCCCATATCTTGCTATTGTGATGGGGGTAGACCTGTGTATGTTCATGAGTGTGGGGATCGCACTCGACAAACAAAAAAAAACCGCTGCAGAGATGAGTCGCGGGCGAGTGCGGCTGCAGGCGACTCGGAACCAGGGATGTTAAAAGCGATCGAGAGGGGAGGGACGGGAAGGGGGCTACGTGGAGAAAGAGTTAGAAGCCCCCCAAACGGGCGCCGCCGGGCACCTCGTCTGCTCCGAGCCCGACTCCCGGGGGGTCCTCGGTCGGCAGCAACTCGGGTCCTTTTGTTACTCCCAAAGCCGCCAGCGATTTGCAGGATCTTCGCACTTTTAGTTTCTCTCTCTCGCTCGCTCCTTTTCCAACGTGGATATGGACTTGTAACCGGATTGCTAAGGTGGGGAGCTGCAGCCCTGGGGCTCCCGAAGCAGTCCCCACGCAGGCTCCCGAAGCAGACCGGGCGGAGGAGTCTCGCTGTAGTTTGTGCAGTCTTCGGGAAGCGCACACGGCCGCCGCTCGGTCTCGGCGCGTTAGAAACCAAACAAAAAGAAAACGGAAACAAGCCCGGGTACCGGCTCGCGCCGCACCGCAGACTGAATCCGCGCTGCACCCCCTTTTTTGGTGGAAAGGGTGGGGGGCGTGGAAGGCGGGGGGGGGGGGGTTGCCGGAGAGGGTCCGGAGAGGGTAATTACCTACGTTTTAACTGTAGATGGCGTCTGAGGCTTTTCCAAGATCGCTAGAGCTCTCCAAAATTTAAACAAACAGACAAAAAGAAAAAAAAAAAATAGCAAGGGAGCATTTAACTTAGAGCGGTCAGCGCTGCCAACAAAAGATTGCAAAAGCCGGGCAAGGAGTTGCGGGCCGGGCGCAGGTACCGCGACAAAGCCCAGGGCTTGGCCCGCCGGGCGGAGGTCAGCACCGGCTCATGCCGTCGCCGCTCCCTCGCGCTCTGGATCGGCCTCCGGAGAAAGCGAGAAGTGCGCGCAGGGAGGACGAGGGTAGATCAATGGTCTCCGGTGTCCCCGGCACGAGCTTCCGGGGGTCCTCCCGGCGCAGGAAAGGGATGCACCCCCAGCCCAGTCAACCCACGCCGTCTCCTCTCGCTCTTTTCACTGGATCTCGCCTTGGAATAATTTGCCACCGCTCCGTCACCCCCTACCCTCAACCCAAACTGCCTGGCGGGGTTGTTTTGGAGAAAATTGACGCTTCTCTTCTTCTTTGATTTTTGTTCTTCCCCCAACCCGGAGGTAAGAGAAATGTGTATTGGAAATGGAAGGGGACGGCCGACGATGCCCGAGGCCAATCCCCGAGCTCAGCACGCCCGCATCTCTCGGCGAGGCGGTATTAATAGTTACTTACGTGGCCGGGGATCTCTGCGCGAGCGGGGCTGTATGTGTGCGCGCGCGCGCCTCGCTCGCGCTCGGTCTCCCCATTCAATGTCACCGATACATTTCCACTGAGCCTCCGCCCCCCTCCCCCACCACCCGGCGGCCCCGGCGACTGGCTGAGCGCAGCGTCGGCCCCGCCCCGCCCCCGCCCGGGGCCCCCCCTTATTGAGCCGGAGGCCCATCAATCAGCCTCGCCGCTGCCAGTCCTCGGGCGGCTCCCCGCGCCCGCAGGCGGCTGCCACTGCCATTGCAGCTCCCGGCTCCGGGCGCGGACGGTCGCCTCTCCCCCTGCCCCCCCAGGATGGCCCAGCCCGGGTGAGGTAAACAAAGTGCTTTATCCAACCGGGGCCCGGAGCCGAGGAGGTAGCGCAACCGACCAGGGAGGGACGGTCCCGGCGCCGCCACCGGCTGATTGCGCGCCCTGCTGCAGGCGGCGGGGCGACTCGTGCCCCGCCGCCAAGTCCCCAAGAAGCTCCATCAGTGACGAGTGGACTTCCTAACTCGTTCGTATTCCCGGGAGCTTCTCCCCAGCAAGCCGGGCATCCTCTGAGCTTACGGACACTGCTGCTCACATAGCTCTTCTTGGAAAATGTGCTTGCCATCCGGGGTGCCGCACCGAGTTACAAAAATCAGTTTCATTATCTTTTTCCAGCACTCTCCTCCCCATATAAAAAGAAACAGAATGCGTGCTTTTAGTTGGTGTCCCCCTCCACTCCCCACCTCCCAACAAGGCTTTTAGTATTTTTCTGCTTGCCGAACATTCCAGCTCAAAGACATCCTTTTACTCAGACCGCAGGTAATCACTAATTCTTCCTCTCCCAAGACGTGCCCAGAGGCCTTTGGCCCAGGGAAGCAATTCTTGCCTTCAGCTTCTGGGAAGCTTGGGGCCCCTTCAGTCCAAGTCCCTTTCTCCTGTTCTCTTTGTGCTCCCTCCCCCAACACACACGTGGACCACCGAGACACTGGGCACTGGGAATCAGGTGAGGGCTGCGGGTTCAGTCCACTTATTCCCAATTTCCGCAAGAGGTGCCAGTCCTCTGATTTAGGCTAGAACTTGGACAGAGGCCTGGACTGCCAGGCCTTAACCTAATGTATCCTGGTAAACCAAGCAATCTGATTGGGGACCAAAAAACAAACAAACAAACCCAAGGGGCTGAGAAAGGGGAGTTTAGAATACTCTTAGAGCCCTCTGAACTTTTATATCCATGTATGTATATTTTCAGGCTTCCCAGTGGGTACTAGTGGTAAAGAACCTGCCTGCCATTGCAGGTTAGACTTAAGAGGCTCGGGTTCCATCCCTGGGCTGGGAAGATCCCCTGGAGGAGGACATGGCAACCCACTCCAGTATTCTTGCCTGGAGAATCCCATGGACAGAGAAGTCTGGTGGGCTGCAATCCATAGGGTCGCACAGAGTTGGACACAACTGCACATGCACATTCATATTTTCTAGTCTGGGAGGAAAAGCAGACTATATCATGTATTGACCATGGTAGGACATTTTTTAAAATAATGTCCAGTCTTAGTTGTGGCACCATGTGGGATCTTAGTCCTCCCCACCCACCCAACGAGGGATCAATTCCCCCACCCATCCCCTGCTTTGGAAGGTGGATTCTTAACCACTGGACCACCAGGGAAGTCCTTGGAAGGACACTTTTGAGGCAAAAAAAGAGAGCTCTGTACGATTATGCCCACTGGGGCATATTTGCAACTTATGATTATGCACAAACTCCAGAAATAAGGCATTCCTGGGGGGCTGGCAGAAGAGAATACAGACTGTATGACAGTCCACCACAGCGCCACTGGGTTTGAAAAAAGGGTCAAGAAAGTGCTCCCCTGTCTCCTGACTCCCTCTTGCCAAATGACTCCTGGCAGACCTTCCTAACAGTCAGTCCCTGACCCTAGGGCGACTCGTGTGCTCCCCCAGGCCATCACCAAGAGTGGTGAGCAGGATCCATTCATGAATCTCTGCCCATCGAAACTCCTCTGCTGCTGCTCATTTTGGGAGCAGACCTCTGTTCCTCCGCTGAGGGGTCGGAAGGAAAGGCACCAGCCTCCCTAGTCAGTGGCCACCAACAGTGCTTTATAACTAGGAGTTTAGGAGACCCTGTTCCAGCCCTGTCTGGGCCTCTGATTTCAATGAAAATTGAGTCAAGACATTTTTTTCCCTCCTCCCTGACTACCCCTTTTTTCAGCTGTAAAATGAGAAGCCTAACACCCGTCCAGCTCAGCTCACGTGACTGCTTTAGAATTATATTTTTCAATTCCAGGAAATCTATGGTGGTTTACTATAAGCCCAGCCTAGGATGGGTGTTAAGCATCCAAATATAAGTAAGATTTGGTCTCTGCCACCCAGAAGCTTGGAGTCCAGCTTCAGAGAAACACTTGGAAATACATCATTTCATTGTATAACAGTGTGGCAATTAGATATCAAGGCATCCACTTTTCCTGGGTTTCAGGGAGTTTTCCAGAAAAAGTGATCTTTTTCACCTTGAATTTATCCAAAGCAAATATTTAATTGAAACCTGCTTTGTACCAGATACTGAGTTTCGAGATACAATGATTTTAAAGAATTTATTTCCTATCCTCATGGATCTTGAAAAAGTTCTATGAGTCATACAATAAGATAAATAAGAGATTGTCGCTGGCATTTCTGGCGGAGAGAAAGAATGTACAGAAGCAAAGGAGTGGGATGTTCTGAAATTTCTAGTAACCCTCCATGGCGCTGGTCCTGGCAGTTTAGGAGCAGCAGCCAGGCATGTGGCAGACAAAGTGAACTGGGATTAGAATGAGAAGGGACAGACAGACCAGCCAAAGCAGAAGACATGTGGAGTGAAAGCTGCCATTAAATGGGGAAGTGACTTGGTTGTTGGGGTTCTAGAAAGATCATACTGGAGGTCATATGAAATAAATATCAGTGGGCTTCCAAGGAAAGAGAAAGCCCTATCACCTGGAGAGACTGAGAAAATGGTCAACATACTGGTACATAACAGATGCTGTGAGCTTCCCTGGTAGCTCAGCTGATAAAGAATTCGCCTGCTATTCAGCAGACCCTTGCTGGATTCCTGGGTCTGGAAGATGAACTAGAGAGGGGAGAGGCCACCCACTCCAGTGTTCTTGCCTGGAGAATCCCATGGACAGAGGAGCCTAGCCAGCTACAGTCCATGGGGTCACAGAGAGTCAGACATACTGACTGACTTAAGCACAGCACAGCAACGGATGCTGCGCATGATTGATGGTACATTCATGACTTCTGATGAAATTATATGGTGGCCAAGTCCTGCCCATTCTTAAAGGCCAAATTCATGATCTTCGGAAACTACTGTAGTGCAGGATAAATTACATAATTTATACCTAGTGCCTTAAACCTTTTTATCCGAATTCACAGTAATTCTTCTTAGGCTGAAAAAAAAAACATGTAATAGGAAGATCTTTGTGGGAATCTTCATTCATTCACTTTTTAGCTATATGACCTTAGATGAATTTGAAATACTTTAATTATAAAATGGGCTTCCCCAGTGGCTCAGTGGTAAAGAATCCACCTGCAGTTCAGGAGATGGAAATTTGATTCCTGGGTGGGGAAGATCTCTTGGAGAAGGAAATGGCAACCCACTCCAGTATTCTTGTCCATGGGAAATCCCATGGACAGAGAAACCTGGCAGGCTACGGTCCTTGGGGTTGCAAAGAGTCACATCTTAGCGACTGAACAGCAGCACATAAAGCAGCTAGCATAATGTCTTGTGTATAATATAAATATTACTATTGTCATTATTTGAATATGTCCACAGAAAGCAATTCAACATGCAAGGATAATGATAATAATAATAGACAAAATGCCTAAAATATCAATAAAATGTATAGGAGTTGTTAAAATAACAGTTGTAGGTATGATTAAATACAAATTATGTAGTTATGATAAAAGATCATATGGCAACTAAACTAGGGATTATATTATTACAGAGGAATAGTAACCAGTCTCTGGGCTTCCCATGTGGCTCAGTAGTAAAGAATCTGCCTGCCAATGCAAGAGATACAGTTTCAATCCCTGGGTCGGGAAGATCCCCTAGAGGAGTAAATGGCAACCCACTCCAGTATTCTTCTTGCCTGGCAGGCTACAGTCCAAGGGGTTGCAAAGAGCTGGACATGACTGAGCACAGCACACATTAACCAGTCCACTCTGTGGAACAGTCAGATCCAGCTACCATAGGTTGCTAATCCGCTGTGCATGTTTTCCAGAATGTCCTCTCTCTTGAAATGCATGTAACTGCTCCTTAATTCACTTCATCTCTCATTAGTTCATTCATCTAGTAAATGTATAGTAGGTACCTGCTAAATGTGAAACCCTAAGCTAAGTGATGTGTTTGTTGATCAGATAACACTCTTGAGACTACTGTGTCATTTGAAGGCTTATGTATACCATGGATAATGATAGTCTTCTTTCTTAACTCTCACATCAAGCCATACCTAGGCTCAAAAATCTGTGACAAGCTTCCAGGACAAATTGTAGACATGGCTACCATATGCAGATGTGCACAAATGCAGAGCATTCCATTCCCCTCTGAGGTCTTTGTGAGTGTCACCCTTGGAGTTGTGCAAAACACAATCTTCTTGGCCATACCTGGAAACCTGGGCATAGATAGAGGGAGTTGGAATTTAAGAAATTCCCAGCAGCTTCGTCTCCCACTCCTCTCGGTTACGTGCCCAGCGGCCACTCGCACCACTCTGTGGACTCTGCCTCTGTCTCTATGACTTGACTCAGGTGTCTGTGAGGACCTGCTCGATGTCTAGGACCTCTGTATTTCCCTGATGTTACTCCTTTCCAAGGTGCTCCTTCTAG